TCAGAAAACTTGTAGAATTCGGCTCTGTTTAGGAAGTAATAGATGTTCCAGAAGTGTGAGACAAAGGGACCAGAGCAGAGAGGAGTATTTTGCTAAGACCTCTGTTTTCAGGGAGGATACACAGCCTTTTTATTTCTGTAATGGTGGTGGAGACTCATCAGATCCCGTTGTCCTTTTAGCTCCCTACATTTCAATAACGTGCATTCCACTGCTCAGATAAAATCTGTTAACATTCAGTTCTGCATTGCTCTCCCAGATGTCACAGACAGAACAGAAAACTGCACTGTGGGGAAGAAAGATATAGCAAATAATTTTAGTGGTTGCTAGTCCTGCTTTTGTGCAGTTTCTGTTAGAATAAATATAATCCAACAGGAAAATGTAGGAACTTTGCTGCTTCTTCACTGAGAGACCATCACAAAATTGAGTTCAGGCTTTTAGTAAGCACTGTGTACTGACACAGGAGCGTTGAAATTGTTGGTATTATGTCAAGAAAGGTGACGCATTAGAAAAATAATCAGTCAAAGTTTGAATAACTTGAACTATATAAAAGCTCAGCTGCAGTACATGTTGTGACTGATTTGCAGTCCAGAGTACCTTGAACCTGAATGTCTTGGATTTTTAGGTCCAAAACTTTAGGTTTCCTTTAGAAAGGAACCTGAAGTTTTATGTCAGGGGTTGCTTCCCTCCATCTCCTCTGTTTCAGAAACTTGTATCTTAAATGCAATCCATAGGAAGTATTTGCAAAAGAAATGAATTACTTAGAGAGGAACTGGGAGGAGGTTTCCTTCCTGAAATCAGAGCTGGCAATCTTTCTAAGTTATTTAATGGTCCCAGTTTCTGAAAACATATTGAAGGAAATATCTTGACAATGAGATAGCCACTTCGCCAAACACTAATTGGTATTGTGTCAAATTTACCTCAGCAGTATGTTCTGACTTCATATCTCCTCTCCTGCTACCTCCTAGACGTGTTTGTGTATTTGTTTGTTTGGTTCTGTCCTAGGGGTTCAGGAGGACTGGCAGTACATGAGGACATTGTGTACTTTTAGCTGCCTATTTGTCTAACCTCAGCATGTGCCCTCTGAGACAGAAACCTGTACCATTTACATCTCTTTGGAGGAATTTCTAGGTGTTATTCAGCTACTTTCTCATCTTACTCAGGTGATCCCAAAAGTATTTTCTCAGTGTTGAAGGAATTCACATTGCCAGCTCCAAAGGGGGACCTGGCCTGTGTTTAACTGTGCACAGTAACATGGCACAATAGTTTCAGACAGGAAAGGAAGATGAAGGATGTGTCCAGTTAAAACTGGGGGGGGATTTCAGGCAGTCAGGATATGAAAAACAAGGTGATACTCTGAAATAAACACCGAATTATAAACCAGGAATTCCTCTGACTCATGGGGCAAATCCTTTGGGGTAAGTCCACAAAAGGAACGAGGCGCCTCGGTGCTGACAGACTGAACTGTTAGGTTAGAGGCCACCATGTACCCTGAGCAGAAATTGTTGGAGGGAGACTTACTTTGGCAACTGATGTCAGGAAAGACTTGACAGTTGTGAATCCCCAGTGGACAGAATTATTTCTGTCATATAATGTAAAAACAATGAAGTTTGGGCTCTCTCTGTGCCCATTCCCATTGCCTGGTGTAGAGGACTGCTCTGTCTGCCCTCTGTGCTTGCCAGTGCCAGGACTCAGCCCCTGCTGGGTGCTGGAGATAACCCCTGGCACAGCTCTTGCAGGAACACAGTGTCCAGAAGTCAGATGCTGCATTGCTCCCTGTGAGAAACCAGTCCTTAGGGAAAGGTTCTCATTCTCCTGGGACTGATGCTGGGTCTGACTTTGGCAGCTGAACATCTCGTAGTAAATAAGGGACTGATTTCCAGGTGTGTTAAGTGCCAGCAGTTCCCTTAAAAATCCAACCTGTATCAGTAAGCACGCACTTACAGATGTTGGTGATTACCAGCTTTTGGGTCTAGGTTGTAATTGTTACTCTAAATCTCCCACTGTCTTATTTCTTTTCCTCTCTGATGAAGCACCTCCTCAGAGAACAGTGAGAATTTATTAGCTCATTGTGGAGGGTTCTAAGGGATATGTTACAGGACAGAGGGTAGGGACACAGTTACACTCACACCTTGGTTTTTTTTCCTCTTTTGCTCTTTTTGCCAGCAGAGAATATATGGGCATCCTGATGCTACCTAGAACAGTCACCTCAAAGATCAGCTGGGAGAAGAAAACAAGCCAAGATGGAAGATGTTGCAAGTATTTCAAGGGCTTTGCAGCAGTTATTTATGAGTTTGCCAGACTCGTCTTTTCAAAGTTTATTTCCTTAGGAGAAACAATAGAGATGTTCCTAAAGCATTTAATGGAAAAAAATTACAAATAAAAATTCTCATAGGAAAGTGGCTCTAGAAACCACTGAGCCAGGTTCTCATCCGTGATTTTTCCCGCTAATGCAATTTTGCCTTTTTTGCCTCCAATTCATCATGCTCTAAGGAAACAAAGGGGGAGCTACAGCTGAGGAAGTACATTTCTATAATGCAGCAACTACTGTGATACCAGTAGGACACAGAAATATCTAAGCTTGCTTTAAACTCGCTAAGTTGGTTATCAGTGCCACCACTGTGGCAGAACAGAGCTCAGCACAGCCTGGCCAGCCTTGGATGAACCTTGACATGATCTTGCAGCTTGTGCTGAGCTCCCTGTGCTGCAGCAGCTGGACTGCTACCAGGCTTGGAGCCAGCTCAGTTATAACCCACAGGGATGTGACACTGCAGGGAGGGCCTGAGGGAAGAGTGAGCTCTGGGCTCCCTAAAAACTTGAATAACTGTTCAGAGATTCGAGTGCTTCTATTAGAGGCACAAACTGTCTTTATTCTTTGCTAAATAGCCTTTCCCCTTTAAAAGTTCTGATGTTTGTTGGTTAATTTGGTGAGATGGTTCTTCAAGAAATGATTGTCCATCACAATTATTTTGGATGATTCTATGGTAAGTCTTCATTGGGTGGATATAACACACCCAGGTCAGTGACTCTGTACCTGAAAATCCTGTTATGTACAATCTTTATTCCTTTGATTTTAGGAGAGACTAGAAGTTGTACTTGTGCCCAGTTTGTCCAGTATGGAATTCCATACCTATCCTTTTTCTCTATAGTATGATAAACCACTAATACAGATCTAGTTTGGACACAGATCTAATCCTGCAGCCCATGTTTGTCTCGGCTGCATTAGTTTAAAAAAAAGAACACAGAACAAAGGAGAAAAAATACTGTCCCCAACCCCTTAACCAGCTGGCCTTTGACATTGCAGTTGTTCTCTTTTTCTTACTGCAAATTAAATTCCTACAACATCTGGGCTACAGGTAAGGAAGTCCTCATTTCAATTATAAAATAGTGAAAAAGAGGCAATGAGTTTGTGTATGTATATATATATAATTACTGCTTTAAGCATTGCATCAAAGGTGCAAAACCAGCAAGAAACACAAAAGGGGTTTATATCCTCCATTCGGAATGTTTAAAATTTGAAGCTCCAGTACCGATTAATATCTCTAATTTATTGTTCCCTGTGCAAATGTTGTTTGTATCATGAGCCTGTCACAACTGACTGACTTCATAGCTCTCTTCTGTTGACAAATGTTCTTTCAGCATCCCATGAGTGTCCATGCAAATGCATTAGTATAAGAAATGTGAAAAGGTATTTTAATAAAGAAAACTCTGAATTGAACTTTGCACTGGATCTTGCACATTCATATTGCAATGAATGCCTGTGAAGTTTTCTATTCATGAGGAGCCACAGATCCATTGTGTGGATTGGCATTTGGAAGATGCCCTCTCTGCAACAGATTCCAGGCTCTTAGATCTGGAGTCAGGAACCCATTTCATTCAGGTAAATGCACTACATTGCTTTAAGAACTGAGTGGGAGAGTGCTTGCATTCACATAAGTCTTTTACTAAATTACAAAGGTAAAAGTTCCCCCACAGACCCTTCCCAGCCTTTGGCAAAGCCTGGAGAAACGCTGGGTTTGGAAAGCTTCAGAATATCATCTGGGCATGATGGAGCAGCAGTGGAAGAATTCATTGCTGGCTTTCAGCTTGTCTCTGGAATAATTCTAAATTATTTTGGATTTTGTTATCTAAGGCAAGTTGTTTGCATTATTGAAACGTGTGAACTGTCCATTTCTCAGAGTGCTGTGCACTGCTTTGAGCTCTTCTGTTTTGTCTTGCAGATAACAAAACTATTTCAGAATATGGCACAATAATCAGCAGAGGTCACCAGTGAAGATGAGGTAAATGGGCCCATGAGTAAACAACTACACATGGAGTTCTGATATAAGCATGTGCCAAACACGATCCCATTGGAAATATTTGTGAAATAAGTCTTGAATCTGTTACTGAACAAATCAAAGCTCAGATTGGAGCTCAAACAATACATTATTGAAAACAACAACAGAAAAGAGATGTCTGTGTTGCCACCAAGTTGAGCTCAGCAAATAGAAAAGTAGGTTTTAATTAAGATTAAATTAATTAAATTTTAAAAGAAAATTTACATTTTGAGCAGAGTAAAGGGATGGCACATGCCCGGATCCCTTGTGCCATTCCCTATCTGAGCAGTTCCCCTGCTTCCACTCAGCTTGTCCGGGAAGAGCCTTACCCACCCCCAGGTGAGATAAATTCGGAATATTTCTCCTGTTGCAGAGCAGAGGTGACACACAGAAATGCCTGGACCAAGGCCCCTCCTCTGCATGGTTGCTTTCCTTTTCCATTCGCAGCCAAGCGGCACCGCCTGTTTCCCGCTGTACCGCGAGTTTCCCGGTATACCGCGAGTTTCCCGGTATAACGCCTGTTTCCCTGTATAGCGCCTGTTTCCCGGTGTAACGCGAATTTAACGCGAATTTAACGCGAATTTAATGGGGATTTAATGGGAATTGAAGGCCAGGCCCGTGCGCGTCCCGCGGGGTCCCGGGCCGGGCGGTGCCGCGCTGCCCCCTGCTGGGCAGCGGGGGCACTGCAGGGGACAGCCCCGGGCCGGCTCCGTCCCGGCTCTTTCCCATCCGACAACAAACGGAGCCGCGGGAATTTTTTGTTCCTAAATCGCTCGCCCGCCTCTTCCCGGCCTCCGCCACTCTTAGAGAAAAGTGTCCTAAATGCAGTGGAAACCTGCCCGTCGTGGCCCTCTCCCCTGGGGTAATGAATTGTTTGTGAATGCTGGGCTTCGAGCAGTTCCTGATAAGCCTCAGCATTTATTTACTTTTCTGCGGTGTTGTTCCACCTGCTGCTTTGTGAGCTTGGTTCGGTTCAAGTTCTTTGTGCTGCAGTTCATCACTGAGTTGTCTTGAGTCCCAGCTTTTTGGGAGCAGGGGAGGTGACACTCAACTGAGTACAGCCCATCTCGTGCAAGGAGAGGGCAGGCACAGGGAAAAGCAACAAATTTGAGGAAAACAGAGGTATCAAATAGAAAAAAACCCACACCAATTAAACTAGAAATCAAACTGAATGCAATAAAGTATCAGTACAGATTTAAAATGCTAGCACATTTTGTTGTTTAGAATTTCAAGGCCTTTCTGAATAGGTGAAAGCAGAATAAACATCACTTCTGCAGTTATTTGGGAAGTAATAAGCAATTTGACATATCTAAGGAATCACAAAAAGTAGGGCTTATTGCCTTCATACTAAGAAATGTTCCACTGTAAATAACAAGTGCTCCCATTAGAGTTGAGCAGTCACGAGAATGTAGCTTGCATGGGAGGTTTCAGTTAAATGTGAGCATTTATATTTATATTGGTAATTTATTTTCTCACCAGCCACAAACATGCTGAGTGGGAAGCCTGAAAAAATTCTCACCATTGCAGGAAATAATCACTGTAGTTAAATTTTAAATGTAATAGCAAAAGAAATCACAGTTTCCTCGGGGAGGGAGTCACTGCAAAGTCTGATGGCAGAACAGCAGCATGAAGCTGAAATGAAAGATTGAGCACAAAGGACAAAGCTGTCACTGCAAAGGCTCTCAGGCTATGCCCCCATCAGCCTGGATCTGGACTGTGTGAAAAGCTCTGATGGTGATTGTTAGAAATGGACCTCACACTGTTTGGACCACATTCCCATGGTTAAGAGAAATTCAGATCCAACAGGTATTGTTTGAGGAGAAATTCCACAACTAAACTGTTTGTCATAGTAAAGATGGATTCTGCCTCTGAAATGGATAGATTAGCAATATAATTCTGTGTAATCCTGAAAGTGTAAGAGTGGGAGATGAAATCAGGATCTCCTTTGAGGCAATGATAAAAAAAATAACAATATTTTCACTGGACAAAAACCAGAAGTGACCAGTGTGACAGTTCATTGTCCTCTGGCTACTGCCCTGATTTTTCTCTAGTTGTCTTTTTGTTTTAATGTTTTATTGAGGAGATAAAAGGAGATCTTGGCATGAAGGCTCATTACAGCGAAGAAAGAAAATTAAGAGAAGATTAAAGGAAAGACAGAGGGGAATGAGCAGGGCTGGTGCAGAGAAATCCTGCAGACTGTGGAAGGTTTGGAAGAAACAACCCATCAGTCCAGTTACCTTAACAGCTCCACACTTCGTGGTGTGGGTGCTGCTCTGGGCAACATGCTGTGACAGAATCAGTGCTCTGCAGGTGGCTTGTCCCAAACATTCCTGTGTTTATCGTTGTCAGGTGACCACTAGGAGAAGCAGAAAATATATATGTTAACAAAAAGCCCAGTTGCAGGTAATGGCACCAGTGAGCCAGGTTTCTGCTGCTCCCAGTGTGTCAGTCCTGGATGGGGATGTGGAGTCCTGAGGCACCAAGGGGCCCATGTGATGCACCAGCCTGGGAATGTGTGCTCCAAAAGAAAACATCCTATTTCACTGTTATTCAGCTGCCATAATCCAAGCCCTGCTGAGTGCTTGCAGAGGAGCTATGACTGCTGAAATCACCTGTTTCCACATGGCACTGTCAGCTCTGCGTGGGGACAGCTTGGCTTTAACTCCTCTGCACTGCCTTGTTGTTTATTCATTTTTAACTACACACAGAGCCAAGTCTCCACTGTGACTGACACAATTTCACTTTGAAAATCAATGAGACAGCACTACAAGGGCAGAAGAGTCTTTCCTGAGAACTTGTGTTTCTCAGAGCCCTGAGTGAGTGCTGTTCTAATGGAACTGACCTGAGCCAAACTCCTGAGCTCCTGGGGCTCTCACCACCCTCCCAGCCTGGCTCACAGTGGGACCTTCTGGAGTGGTTCAAGCTCCAATCAGCTTAGGAAACTCTGCCTTGTGTGGGAAGAAGTGCTTCCAAGGCAGGGATAAAGAGGGCTGCTGGCGTGTCCCAGGAGCAGAGGGGACAGAGAAATTGAAAAAGATAGGACAAAGATGAGAGCTTTGTCTTAAGTGGGCTGAATCATGGTATTACTGGAAGGGGTGAACTTGGCATCCCTGCTTGATAACAGGCTGTGAGACTGTAATAGGAGAAAAAATTGTCAAGTCTATTAAGATGTGGTCAGAGTATAAGTCAATTAATGAAAATTACAGCCACACAGGTTATTAAATTAACATGAGCTTGTCAATAGGAAATATAGATTGCTTTTGAATAATTTTAAATTATTTAAAGCATGATGAAAATCTCACAGTCTCAAAGCTTAGGTTTTATTTTATTACTGTTTGAGGTTTTTAAATATTTTTGTTTCAACTTCATGCTGATTAAAGGAACAGGAGTTTTAAAGAGCATTCTTATTAGGAATGCTGAGAGATGCAGTAGCTGTTAGGAGGCAGAAGCTCAGAGGAGGCTGGAGGTGAGCTGTGATTCTGCAGTGTGATCCATGGCAGAGCTGGAAACAGAAAGTCAAGGGTGTCTGAATGCAGTCCTTGCACACAACGTGATGGATCACATTTTCTAGGCACTTCCTCAGGGCTGCAAGAACCACTCTAAAGGGGCTTACAGCACACATTGGCACTGTTGAAAAACTGGTTCCACCTGTGAATGCTGAGTCTGTAACAGCCTCCAGATGATCTGACCCCCCTGCCTGGGAGTCAGAGACCTTCAGGCAGGAGAGAGGGGAAATTTGCAGCCCTCTGAAGAGAAATTCACGTTTCTCCCGGGAGCTCGGGGCCCAGTTGATCTCTGCAGGAGGATGGTATGTTCAGCATGACTGAAGGTATTAGCTGGCTCAGCCCTGGAGCCTCAGAACATTGTGTACACTGCAAAAATTCAGTTTAGTCATGGCTGGAGGGAGGTAGGGGCTGGTCTGTTAGAAACAACCTGATACACACCTGTGCTTTTGTCAAACAAGAAACACTGAAAGGAGTGTCTTCAACTATCATTTCCTTTTCCTTTTTTTTTTTTTTTCCCTTGAAGCTGATATTTTCCCACTGAGTTGCTTCCTCTCTGACTGTTCCAGAATGAATCACACAGCCCTACATGTCTATCTGTATTCCTAAGGGGCTGTGGAAAGCAAACCTGACTAATGTGCCCTGCAAGAAGAAAATGATAATTGATGCTTTTTAATTACAAGTTTCCTGCATTATGGTCTAGTTTTTCAGCTTATAATCATTAACAGTCTAATAGAGACTTAAGAAAATTGTTGCCTTTTCCTCTTTTGTAGCATATGTAGGTCAGATTTTCATATGTAAGAGTTATTATCTCTGACACACTAATGAGTGTACTGACTGCTGACAAAGGTCACATCTGTGTTTTCTTCATTGCATACAAACATGGAGAGGGCTGTGTGCTCCTCATTGCTGTGTCTTCTGCAGTCATTTCACTGGTCCAAAATCACTTGGTGCTTTTTACAAAGCACAAATCACAAAGCTGCTCTACACCTGCTTTGTACTTCTGTCAGTGAAAGATGAGGCTGAGGGCAGAGGAGTGCCAGCATCATCATGTCCCCAGCACATGTCCCCTTCATGCTTTTCAAGCTCTGTGCACTTGCAGTCAAAGGGATGCAGTTGCTGCCTTTCCATGAGGAAATGAATGGAGCTTTTATGTCCTGTCTTTGACCAAAGCACTTAAAAGGTTTTGTGCCCAGCAGATTGTTTCTAATAGCAGGGAAAATTGATCACTCAGGTACTTTGATGCAGCCCTTTTATTTACAAAGAAAGTACAAAATTCCGTTTCCTCTAAAATCATAGGAATCAGACAATATTCTCTTTCTCTGCATGCAATTTCAATCCTTTTAGCCAGCACTTATCCAGAAGCACTTTTTTATTCTCAAGGTCGTTCTTGTAGGGTTCGTCTGGTTCTACCTGGTTTGGAGAGAAGGCTGCTCCTGTAGGAGCTGGGAGCTCCCTGTCATTCCAAGCACTGCCCTCCTCCCTGCATCTTCCAAGCCATTTTCCAGCTGGCAGAAACCTTGAATGCACCAGCTTCTCCTCCACATTTGCCCTTTTGCCTTCTTAGGGTGGCTGGTCCTCTTTCAGCTGCCTGCTTGTGTATGAGAAGTTGGTTGTTTCTTATGCAAAAGAATATCAAGTGAAAGGCAATATGAAACCTCTTTAGGTCTCATAAGCTTTTACCTGAACTCTGTGTCAATTGGGGTTACACACTCAGGATGGGGCATTGTGCTGATGAAGACTCTGCACACTTATTGTCAGTGACAAGGAGCAGGAATAAGTGATGGAATTGGGGTAAGGTGAGGTTCTCACTGCCCAAGTGTTTTTACTCCATACTCCCCTTCTGGCTAGAGAGAAATACCCCTTTGATCAATGAGCAGGATGAATTGCTAATACCCATTTGAATTTCTCCTCATTCCTTGTCCTATTTATCATATTTCACCTTGGATTTATTTGTAGAGAACTGCTCAGAGAGTCTTGTTTAACAGAGGAAGAAACCGGAAGAAATCCTGGACATGGTGTGTTTTCTCGCAATATTGCCCTGGACAGTTTCCAATCTGTTAATGGATGAACACTGACATCTAAACCATCCCCAGGGGAGGTTCAAGATCCATCTGACTTCAGTAAGAGGTTCCTAAATAGCTGTAACAAGCCCATACGTCAAGAGAAATAAATTTCGCTATTTTTAAAACATGCAGGTTTTGGAAGGCTTTGAATATCAAGATTAATTCTCTGTCTAAATGCAGCGGAAGGCAGCACTGACTGGTGAGTCTCACTCAAATCTGGAAGGTTTTAATATTGTCTGGAATCTGGATTTGATGTTCTAAAAGCTTAGACGTGTTTAGTTTACTTTTTTATTCCAGTGCAGACTCTGCATGTACATATCAGATTCCTTAGTATATCTCATTGGATTTATGTGGAAAACATATGACATTATCCATCAGCATTTGAAATTTTGACTCAGGAATTGTTGCTAGATAGATTACTGAGCAATATTTAATTGAAAGATTTAATGGCACTCTGAGAAAATCCCAAGGTCACATGGAGCCAGATGCTGCCCTGTTCAGTGTGGTGCTGTTTGCAGAAAGTGGCAATAGGGGATGGCTGCAGGAGCTGGACAGAAGGGTCAGGGCACCTGAGCAGGTTTGGAGGCTGGATTATGCATCAGGTCATGAAAATGACCAAGGGAAGGTGAGCAGGATATTCTCAGTGCCTCACGAGACACCTACCTGGCATGTCTGAGCTAAGAGGCTGCTCTGCTCTCCAGTCCTGCCTGAGAGTCCCGTTTGCAACCTGTCCCTTTTCATTGCCTATAATAGATACCCTAAGGACCACAGCTTCCTTATTTAGCCACCTGAATAATTAGCATAGTGAGATATTATTTAATATATCTCTGTGCTGAGGTCTTCCTCCTTAAGTGATAAAGGAGAATGTGAAGTCCAGAACAAGAATCCAGTTGTGGAGGCACTGAGAACTTTTGGCTTTGGAGGCTGGGTCAGGATCTGTTGGAGAAATGGGCCAGGATGGAGCTGCCACTGGTGGTTGGCTGCAGGGAGAGCAGGGAAGGATTGAATCTTGGCTGTGGTCATTTTGTATGACTGGACAGACACCGAGTGCTCTGTCAGAGGCAGTTCTTTAACCTGGGAAAACACCAATTCTGTGTTTGCTTTCAAAGCTGGGCTCTTGTTTGTTCCAAGGTGTGACTGAACCTTCATGTTCTCATTGTTCAAGCCCAGCCTCTCCAGCAAAGCTCAGCTGGAAAAAGAAGATGGGCAGATATGGGCCCTGAGGATGCTACTGCTCAGTGGAAGGTTACAAATTAATGTCACAGAGACAGCAATTCCTCACACCTCCATGAAGTTCATGTAGAGAAAGTTTCTAGCAACATTCTGGTTTGAAATTACACTGTCTAGAACTGCACAACAGCCTAAATTATATCAGTCTTATGAAAACAATGCATATTGCTTACACCTTCAGAACATGGAAATGACCCTGACCACCTAAGCCTGTTCTCCATCTCAGCTGGAGAAACCAAAGTCAGTGTTTTATCCCTCTTTTGTAACTAAGAGTTCACTTCATGCTGCCATTTCTGATTCCATTTCAGCAGGTATACATTCAGCTCTGGGCCAGGTATTAATGCTCTCAGAACAAAGACATCTAAGCAAGATGTGGCTATTTTTATGATAGTGATGTTTTGATCTCATGCCAGCACAATCGAGGAACAATTCCCATTAAGTCTATTGATGTGAGTCTTTCCTTGAAGGGGACACTCAGGAAACCTAAGCTTAATTATATTTTAAAGCAGATTACTTAAATTCTATTAAGACCTATGCAGATATTCATATTCAGAATTAAGTGGCATTAATCTGATTTAGTGTACTTTACTTGGAAAATGAAGAAAGCTAAATCAAATGAAGGCCACTTTGAGTAACAAAACTCACATGTGTAACTTTCAAGTCACAGGTGTTCTTAATTCAGATTAATTTTTCTGACTTTCCCTGTGAAGACAAAGGGCAATAAAATCACCAGAGATGGTCTGACCACATGTTCTCCTTCTGCCCCCCAAAAAACATTATGGACTGCCTGACAGTTAGTTTGGACTTGTGAATCTAAAGGCTGCTGCTCATTTCTATAGTCAATGCTCTTTTCTCTTAACTAACCATTTAAATTAGGCCCATCAGTGAAGAACCATAGCATCTGTCCAGGCAGGAGCAGGAGGGTGCTGCTGCCTGGTGTTAAGGCTCCTGTGTATGTGGAAAACTTGCAGTGTATGTGCCTGATTTAAATATGTATCTTCAGCTGTTCTGTAATGTCAGAACTAAATTTACTTGTAGATTTAAAATAGGTGAATGATTTGGCAGCTGAAAGGTCAGGACACACTGGTTTATTTTGCGCTTTGCTTTTCCTGATTACCAGAAAATTGTCTGTAGCATCTGATATTACAGTCAAGGATTTGTGGTGCAATACCTGTACAGACAACAGACAAACTGCAGCCTTAGTGCCACTGTATCCCTCAACTTCCCCCAGCTTTGGATTTTGCCACAGTTGCACTCTGGAGTGCTCCAGCACTCAGCCACAATATCCTACCTCACCAAGGTCTCGCTGGAGGGAGGGGTATTGACTTCTCCACCATGTGCAGATCAGATTTCAGGCTTTTAGAGTTTTGTACATTTGCCAGGTACACTGAAATACAGATACCAGCTCATACAACCTTGCTGTGACTTTGGCAGCAGGCACGTGGCTATTCTGGGTGGCCCAGGGACTTGCCCCTTCCCCAGTGATGGGTGACATCACTGCAGGTGTGCTCTGGCCATTATCCCAGCCAGGATTCAGTGTCAGAGAGAAACAAACCCATGTGAGAACCATCCAGAATGTTCTGAGAGAAACCAGTGCAAATTCCCAGCACTGAAACTGCCTGACCCAGGCTGCCTTGCAAAGCACCTTCCCTGGGAACAGCTCTGCCTCTGGGTGTCACCTTGGCAGCACCACCACACCTTGACAGGCTCTGCCTCTGCACACCTTGCTGGCCTTGCTTTAGCCTGTCCTGTGAATCCACCTGAGCTCCTGGCAGCCACCAGAGGCTGTGCTGGAGAGGGGTGCAAGTTGGAACCTCCTCTGGCTCTGGAAATGTGTCTTATCTGAGTGCAAGGACTTGATGGAAGCAGTTGCATAGAGCTGTTTCTCCATAGATACTTGGCAGTCTAAAAGCCTTAAATTTAAAAAAAAGAGAGAGAGGGAAATAGGAAGATCACAAGGGCAAACGAGGACTAGATTCCTGTAATTTTAAAATATTATTTCTCTCCACCATTCTTTTGGATATTTTGTTTTACAACTGGATTTGAGACCTGCCTGCTTTTGTAATTGAGGAGTTACGAATGCTCTGGTCTGAGCTGGCAAGGTGGTGATCAGTCAAAGGTTGGACTCAATAATCTTGGATGTCTTCTCCAACCCTTAATGATTCTGTGATTCTGTGATCTATCCTCAACTCAGCTTTAAAAATGAAGCAGCAGTTAAAAAACCCAAACCCCAGAATAATGTGCTTTAGCACAGGAAGCAACAAGAGCCCAGGATTTCTGCAGTTCCCAGTAGGATTTTAGAAACAGAGAAGCAGAGTTGGAGCCAGGCTTGGGGAGCTGTCTGGGGAGGCTCCCTGGGGAGGGTATGACCAGGCTGTGCCCCTTTGTGCCAGCAAGGAGCCAGGCCCAGGGGCTGGGATCAGTGTGGAGAGGAGCGATGGAGTGGAGGACAGGATGGGCAATTTGCACGTTAGACAATTCAGATCCAAAGAAGCAGTGAAGCCACTGGCAGAGAAAGAATTTGGGAGGTGCTGAGACAACTCTCACTGGGGTGTTTGGCAAACAGAGGATGGGCCCATGAGTGCTGTGGAAGGATTGTGGCTTTCAGGAAGTTCATACTCCCTTCCATACCCACAGGCAGAGCCAGCTGAAGCACTGGGAAGCCCCAGCATTGGCAGTCCTTGTTGGGCTCTGCACACGCTGGGTGGGCTGGAGCCTTGTTTGGGTTTTTTCCATGCTAAGCCTCTTTCCCTTGCATTTAACGTTGCACTGGTAACAACCAAACAAACCAAGAGTAAAGCTGTTCTCACACACAAACCTGTCTTTGCCAAGATTCACACGTTCAGGCTCAGCTGCTGCCTCATTCCTCTTAAAGCTTCTCAGCATAAAATTGCAAGCAGGGCTGTCCTGCAGCTCTTGGGTCTTCCCCAGGATCTGACAGCAATGGGATTTGTGAAAACCATGTGGAACCCTAAAGCTCATGTAATGTTCTTTTCTCACAAAAGTAGAGGCCTTAAACTGCCCTGAGCTCTAAAATTCTGATGGGGGCATTATAAAGAAATGAACTGAGCCTCACAGTAGCTCTGGGGGAGAAATGTTATCTATTAAATGTTATTTTACACCTTGTTCAAGCACTGCTTTTAAAGGCATTTAAATATCTCCTTCACATATTCCAAAATATTAAAGTAATTATTTTCAAAAGCAGCTCCTGACTGTAGATACCTGTTTCTAGAGCCTGCAGTCTGCCATTTCTCAGAATGATGGTGTATTTATGCATGGGATACTGAAATATTAAAAAAAAAAAAAAAATTTATTCTCTTGTCTTCTTGTAGGATAGGTAGAAGGTAAATAATTGAACAAAAGAATTTACTCTTACAGCACTGAGTGATTCAAATATTCTGAGATTTTTTTCTTATCTCGCTCTTCCACCTGACTGGGACTTGCCTTTAGAAGAGGATTCCCATGAAGCCCAGAGCATGGTACCCTGGTCAGACACAGCTTGTGCCCAGTTTTTCCCAGTGGCTTCCTCCAGCCTTTGCTCAGCATGTACCATGCTATGGAAGAAGCCTCTGCTGAGGACCTAACTCCAGGTGCGCAAATATTTGAGATCAGGAATTTTAGTCCATGTGTTGCCTAAGTTACATGCAAAAAGAGGGCAAAAAAAGCTTCAGATACTCCAATGAGTTGATTATAGTTTAACACAGCCAAAACTAACCCATCAGCCACAGTTTCAGCCATAGGCTCTGTTGCTGCAGGGAAAACCTGTTGTTAAGGAAACAACCATTATCTTATCTCCAGACTCTGGAAACATTAACATTGGTTGTGTATGAGAATTCAAAGGTCTTCCTGTATACAAGTAGAGCCATGAAGAGAAATGTATCCTAGATGAATACATTTGTACCTGTATTTCAAATAGAATGTTGTCTTTTTCATTAAAAAAAAAAAAAAAAGACTAAACTGAGGTGCTCCAGTGATGCTCACACAATGCAGTCTTTTGCTGGGTTCCTTCAGTTCATTCAGCTGTGAGCCTTAAGACACTGAGTTTAGTGCTTGGACATCCAACAGCTTGAAGGCTCTGACCATCCATTTGGTGAGCTTAGGCCATTCCTTACTGAGGAGATTTTGGCAGGTGCTGGCTGCTCTCAGTAACTCTGGTTTTCCATTACATGCAGGAATCTGGCTTTTAAAAACAGAACTCAAAGATGCATGTGAATAATTCACTTCCACAGGCATTGAACTGTTGCTGCCATTTAATGAGAAGGAGTCTGAGTGCTACCTGCACCTACTTCTGACCTAGACTGCAACCCCTACTATGTACAGTGCCTGGTGCAACAGCACCCCAGACCTCGGCACAGCTACAGCTGCAGGTAACATAGGAAACTGTTCAAAAATTAATAATTTATACTTAGCTCTTCACAATGGCTAGTTTGGAGTAATTTGAATTCTGCTCGCATATCCCACTAAATGTTGGTTAGTAAATAAATTTTGTCCCATCGCCTCATTAAGTGTCATAAATTTAAAGGATGGTATGAAATAGAGTCTGAAAGATCTTGCAGGATTCTTTATGTTTTAATTCAAACTGAAACTATTAAAGAGAATATAATTGGCACAGCCAAATTAACCCAAGGGTTGACTAAAGAAACCTGGGCCAGCATCAGTCTGACCCGGTGTAATGCTGTAATGTCATCATTAACTGCCTTCATAAGCAAGAGCAATTAAGTAAAGGGTAAAAGCACAGAAAAGCTGTAATTTATTGCATAAGACCATTATTGAGAAAACAACCTTTTGACACAGAGAATTTTTTTTTTCTCTGTGTGCTGCAAATTGGGAAACATGAAGGGTAAATAAAATGACCTCTGCCAGGGCACGTTTCCTGGGATAAGTGCCTGCTCGGTTAGGGAGCCGATAATTTCTGTCCGTTTCTGAAATGTTTAGATACCAACCAGCTTCTGTGTGCCTGGTCGCGCACACGCTTCCTGCCGCAGCCGCTCCCTCTGCGATGTCAGCGGCGAGCCCTGCACTGAGCCTGTGACACAAACCCGCACCGAGCGCCGCGTTCCTGCAACCGGCGGAATATCGGGACGGCCCGCACGGGGCCGGGAGGCTCGACACGCCCGGGAGCGGCCGGAACCGGGAGCGGCCGCGGGCCCGGGCAGCTCCGTGCCCCGGCAGCCGTTCTGAGCGTCACCACCACCGGCCGCCGAAACACCGGCAGCGAGCGAGGGGCAGACAGGGCCGCTCCTGCTGCCGGGGCTCCCCCAGTCCCTGCCCCTTTCTCCGTCCCCGCCCGGCCCGCTCCGGCCCGCCCCGTTCCGCCCCTCGGGCCGGCGCTGCGGCGGCTCGGGCAGGCCCGTCCCCCCGCGGGGCCCGGATTGGCGGCGCCGCCGCCTCCCCGCTGCTGCCGCTGCCCGGCGCGGGCAGGAGCGGCCAGTGCCATGAGCCGCGGCTGAGGTGAGGGGCAGGGGCAGTGCCGAGAGCTGAGGGGGCCGGGCAGTGCCGAGAGCCGCGGCTGAGGTGAGGGGGCCGGGCAGTGCCGTGAGGGCGGCCGGCGGCCCCGCACCGGCAGCGCCCGCCGGTCCCCGCGGGCTGCGGGCAGGGAGGAGCGCAGGGGCCGAGGGCGGCGGTCGGGCCGGGCCGCGGGCGGCTCCCGGGGCCGGGCAGGGCGGATGGCGGACGGGGGAGAGCCGGGAGCCCGCGGGGAGCGGGGCCGGGCCGGGCCGGAGCGGGGCCGGGGGGATGGAGCCGCTGCCCCTCGGCGCGGGAGCGGGAGCGGCGTTTGCCGAGCCGGGCGTGCAGCTGGGCAGGAGCTGCCGGAGTACGAGCGATACCTTAAAAACAAGCGGCAGAGGAGGCGGCAGCGGTCACTTCTGCTGGAAACGGGGGAGAATTTTTCAGTTGGCTTTTACCACCAAAGGCGAGAGGTTTCCTGTCTACGAAAATTGTTTCCTCTCTCTTGCCCCAGCTGTCGGCTCCTTGGTTTCTGCTTCTCGTAATTTTCAGTGTCATCTGTGTTATCTTTATTGTAGTTCAGGGGCTAAACCTGTGTACTGTGTCTCTTCAGCGTGTGTTAAAGTTCCTGCTCAACTTGCTGATTTCTATCTGTCAGCAGATGTCTTGAGGAACTCCTGACCATAATTTTGGGAAATGAAGTACACGGTGGAGGTTAATTTAAACTTCTGTATGCAACTTAAGTATTATAACCATAAGATAAATTAACATTAGTCTTCAGTTCTGTATTATCTTCCGTTAAGATGCTTTGTCATACTCCTCTTTCAAGATGATATTCCTGTGTAACTCAGGAAAAATAAGGCACGATCCCAATTTCAGGGGTGAATATTTTTACAAGAAAGTCTTGTGGTTTTAGTTCTAAAATAACTTAATATTCCTAAACTGAATAAAATTCAGGCAGTGTGAGTACCCTGTTTTGATTTTCTTGGAACTGAAAATATACTAAATGAGAGGTAAAAGCACTTTACCTTAAGCGTAAAAGGGTAAACTAGTGATTTAGGATGTTAAAATTGACTTTTAAAGACTCTGACATCATGCTGTTTTATGATTTATGGGAGGTTACGGTTCTGTCTGACTTCAGAGCTGATCCAACAAGGTGCTGTGTTGTGGGTGGCATATTAATTATGCTCCAAGTAGGTGCTGAGGCTTGAGGTAGTGTTCCTAAAGCAGTGCAGAGTGCTTTCTCCCTTGAGAAAAAGACTAAGAAGTTGATTCTGTGCTCAGAGGTCTTACTCTGGAATTTGCTGGGGTATGGTATCACCTGGGAGTTGTACTGGCAAGCTGAACTCTTGTGAGCAACACTTCTGGTTCATGCAAAGAATTTATTGAAATGAGCTATTTAAAAAAAAAAAAAATTGAAAAAACTCCGAAGTTAAAACTTGAAGAAGGATGCAGCCCAATAGTGTGTGTTAATTGCATATTTCTTTTTCTGTGATAACAACTCTTAGGACTTCTAGCTTTTAATACCAAATGCTTAGCTGTTTCTAACTAAAGAACCTCTAAACCAACTGGTTTTCAAAGTAAAGAATGTGGAACAAGAAGCCTGGACATAATGTGTAATGCCAGTCATTTCTCTGTTGTGGTAGGTATGTAAACAAAGGAATGGGAGATAGGGAAACTTAGTTAGCAAATAAAAGGCTAATACAACTGAAATACATTTAAAATCGTGTAGCTGGAGGACTGAGGATGCGTTGTTGCATTCAAACAGCTTTTTAGGTGATGGATTTGGGGATTGTGCTGCTCTGCCTCGACCTTCTGTGCCAACTCAAGCCAACTCCATATGATGAAACCAGAAGGGTTTTTTAATAGCACATCTAAAAGGCCACCAGAGTTACACTGTGTGAGCGAAGGTGACCAGTCACAGGCGTGGCAGTGGCCATAGGTAAGGACGTGTTCCCCTGTCCTGCTCTCAAGGACTGAGCTTTAGCCAGTTTCTGCTCGAGATGAATAAATTGTGGTGCTGAGTGTGCAGAGAGTGTAACTGATGCCTGCCTGGGAGCTGAAGAAAAATAAAGGCTGTTTAGTAGGATAAACTAGGTTTCAAAAGAATGGAGGGGAAGGTAATTAAATTCTGGTCTTAAACGCAGTCCTGGAGCTTGGAAAACTCCCTCAAATCTCTGGATTTTTATTTTTTTCCTTTGGTAAGCTAGAAATTGTGGTATCAGATGTCCACTGTAGTAATGCTAATTCAGTGTGCTCTAAAACATACATCCATGAATAAAGGCCTCATGTTCTAGAAACCCTTACTGCCCTAAATGAAACAATCAGATGACAGTGTATGCTGGAAAATGAGAGCATAATGTAGGCTTAGAGATTAGAGAAATAAAGATAAGAGTTAATTCCGTGAGCTATCATGAGTGTGTATTGTATTAGAAGAGATGTATTCAGAGTAGAAACCAGCTCTGGAATTGCACAAGGATGCCACATGTGCCTTATAAAGGCCATGAACATTTTTAAATAATGCAGAGTGGACACTTGAAAGGATGTGTTGTGCTTTCAAGGCGGAGGAGGGTAGAACATTGAGCTACTGAGAGAACAATATCATGTTAGAACTGTTGATACCAAAAGAAAAAAAAGTATATCACTCCTTATTGTAGAGGATTGTACTAAATGGTTCAGATTCACAAAGTAAAGGGTTTGGTTTGGGGGAGTTTTGTACTGCAAGTGGTTGAATTAATCATCTTTTCTGGACAAAAATCCCAATTGTCATGTCATGAAAATATATTATCAGCTGTTCTTGACAGAATTGTGAATTATCTCTTCTTGAAGGTTGGCTTCTATAAAATTTCTGTTAACATGGCAAGCACAGAAGTTTGAAGGTAGAAAGTTAATAATAATTGATCAAAATCCTATTTCCAGATTAAGACAACAAGACCTGAAGGTTGTGCATTGGCTGTGAGGATTTATTCTCACCCAGCAGCCTCAGCCCCTGCTCCCCCAGAGCATTGCGAGGGGTGAGATTTGACCTCCTGCAGACACAGCACTTGAGGTAGTGTCCTCTTCAGAAGGGCTATACATGAATGGATTTGCTTGGATCTGGGCCAGGCTTTGTGTACCACAGGTCCTAAAGTATTTACGTGCTTGACAAATGGAATTTTAAGTCTTTTAAGATGATTTTTACATTCTTTTGCACAAGACCTTATTGGAGTTCTGCACTGGAGGCTGCCATGTGCTAACTTGGTTTCATGAGCTTGAGTCTGTGCAGAGCAAAATCTCTCCTTGGTCAGCACAGTAACAATACAACTAGTGTAGTGCAGGACTCCCAGTCAGACCAGTTTGGTAATGCAGAGTCTGCCTTTTTCATACTTTCCTTTAATGGACTCTTTGATGACCATTATCTCTGAAAAATAAAAACCAAGTGTCTTAAGTTGAAATTGCTCAATTAAAGAATCTGAGAGGCATTGCTTGAAGACTTCCTGTGTTAGCCAAGGCCAGTCTTGCTTCTGTTGAAAATGGTGAGAGAAAGGAAGCAAAGGAGCAAATTTTGATGGTAGAGTAGGTTAGAGTGACTGAGGTGTCTGCGGTGTGCAGTAATCCCTGTAAGTTTTGCTGTTTTTTTTTCTTCCTGCTTCACCCTCTGGGAAGAGAGGAGTTCCAGTGTGTTATTTATCAGTCATATTTATTCTCTGGGTATTGTTGTCTCTGTTGAAGCCAGTTGTTAGTTAATGTCTTTGGAGAGACAGGAGAATATAATGATATAAAAGGGTTTATTCTCTGATCTTGCCTTTCTGTTCCTCAAAACTCCTCTGTTTGTTGTCTTTCCTATTTGTTTTAACTCTGTCCTCTCCTGACAGTAAGGTGTGTTACTCTGCTATGCAAAGTCCAAATCAATACCTAGTGCAGTTGGGGTTCCAAAAGGGAAGAGGACTGATGTACAATGGATAACAGAAGATCAATAAACATGGTAAACAGTGGTGTTTTCCCATAAAGGCCAGGAGGGCAGCAGAAATGAATCGTGTGAACCCGGCTTTAATATTCATTACCCAGTGTCTCGGTGGTTTCTAAAATGTTGTGCTCTCTGACCCTGCTGGTATTGAATGACAGGAATATTGCAGGAGAATGTCCCTTAGTACTGTGACTGCATTGCATGTCCTGAAGGGTTGTGTCTTGGAGCTGTGAGAAGGTGGGATCGTCAAGCTTAGAATAGGATATCTTTTAAGAGTATGAAAATGGTTATTCAGTCATTGAAGTGCTCTTTTAAAGGATCTGTTTGAGCCAGAAAATCACTGTATTGGGTTTTAATGGTAGAAATAGAAGACAGAGCTACAAGACTAGATCTCACTCTGGATTTCATGTGTTTTGTTTACACTTCGGTTGTAAAATAGGACTGCAAAATTATAAGCACAAAGGTATGGACTCCTTTGATACTGGGAATTTCAAAGCAGATGGCAGAGGAGTGAAATGTCAGTGTGACCTGTCATGAGCTGCAGTGAAATTCTGATCTGAAATTACATAGAGAGATGTAAAAAACATTCTGTTTCCCTGGAAATCAGGATAAAGACTGAGAAAATAAAACCGTTTTGTTTTTATGAGCCCAGACAGGCTCAAAGAATGAAGTCTCTGTGCGGGAAAGGA